TTTATAATCTGAATTCAATAAGGATATAGGTCTATAATTTTTAACCTGTTGTGGGTCAGCGTCCTCCTTTGGTATAAGTGTAATATATGCTTCAGTCCATGTTTGGGGATGGTTATAGTTCCTCTTGAATCATAGGAACCACATAGGCATGCTTAATGAAAAGAAAAAACAAGGTGGATGGCTGCTATGGCAGTTTGCTTCAAAAACGACAAGAAGCTTGTTGGAAAGAAATGAAATGAAATCCCTCCTTAATCTGTTGGGGCAAACTCTGTGAGGCTGCTTTGAGGATTTTCAAGGTGGTTATCACCATAGGTATGCACAGCTGTTTTGTTTTGCTGGCAGTCCAAGGGGAAATGCTGTTTATCCAGCAGATACGCAGACAATCTGGGAAAGGTCATGGAGCAGCTATGTTAGGGAGCAACCTGAGGCACAGGGTCATGCCAATACATAAGGGGGGGGAATGTTTTATCACTTGCCCCCTCCCCTGTTGCCTTCCGTGGATGCTCATGTCCAAAGATGCTAGAAGGTAGCAAGGAACGATCTCATCACTTTATTTTATTTGATAAATTGGTATTTTGTGATTCTACACAGCTACCATGGCGGGCATTTAGTAGATGGAAAACTCCATAGTGACAGCCACAGGGAACCTTCACACATTCTTAACATTTCACACAGCCCCTCAAAGGTTTCTAACCTTTGTTGTACACTTTTCCCTCTATAGTTACAGATTTCCGGGCCTCAAAACCCTTTCTGTAATAAATGTCAGCTGTTTAGGGTTACCTGGCTATGTGGCCGTAGGGTATATGGCCTTATATTTAATAGGAACTGGTGGTAAGTTGTACTTTTAAAAAATTGCTTTAGGATATTTTGAACCACTCTTAAAGCGGAAAGATATTTTATAGGGATGGCCTTAAATTTCTACACATTGTTTATCTAGAAGTGACATAGGAGATACCATGTTGATAGGTATCAAAATACCAAGAGGGGAAGGAACCAAAAGATTTGAGCGGAGGGAAGGTTTCACATCCCCTGTGCTATTCCGCCATTAATACATTAAGCATGCAGACATAGCACACAAATATGCTTTCTCTCTCTCGTGCGCACACACTGGCAGGGAACCCGTTGCACTAATATCCTGTCATAGCTAGGTTGGCACTAGATTGCAGCATTTATTTTTCCATATCCATTTTTTCCCCCAACGTTACGACCGAGCCCACTCACAACTTTTATTGGAGTGCGTGGCCAGAATCCGTTCTGGTTTCTTGCATGACATGTTTCACGTGGCACGCAGGGCTGAGCCGCGACAATCCACCCGTGAGCGCCGGTGCACGCGCGCGCCTCGGCTCCAGAGGGGGCTGCGTTCGTGCCCCCTTGGCAAGGGAGGGAGGCGGCGTCTGTGGCGGTCCCCGCTCGGGGAGGAAAGAGGGCCGCGCGCGCCCTGACTGACAGCGGCACGGAGCGCCTCCCCCCAGACGCCAAATACAGAGGGAAGGGAAAGAAGCTGCTGCTCTCGGGGAGTGTCCCGCCCGCTTGCCCGCGCCTCCTCCCTCCTCATCACCTCCCTTCCCCCGCGTTTGCAGAGCTAAGTCGGGTCACTCTGGCGAGCGTCGGCTGGGCATGGCTCAGCATTCCCTGGTCTGCTGCGGGGCCGAGGCAAGGCGAGCAGGTAGGGGCAGCGGGCGCGGGTGCCAGAGCAGGGGTAGAGTGCGAGGAGGCGGCAGACGCGGCTCTTCGCCGGGGTGAGGAAGGCGGGAGCGGCAGGGAGGGAGGGAAGGAAGGGGCCCGGCCTGCGGTGAGCAGCCTGGTGTGGAGACCTCGCTGCAAGCTGGCGGGTGGGAGAAGAGCGCTCCCCGGCGGACTGGGAACGGACGCAGCTGCGCGGGAGCGGTTCCAGACCTCGCGGCTTGCGCTGGGCACCGTACCGCTCAGCATCTAACCCAGGGTTGCTTTTCTTCGTGGGAAGCTGCGGATTGCCCTCCTGATCACCATCTTTAATGAGACCCCACCTTCCCCGGGGAGTGCTTCGGGTGTACCTTGGCCACCCTCTCTCGGCCAGGGCAACCCTGTCCCGTCGCGTGTTTTACTTGGGGGATGCAACCCCCCGACCCTCCCCCGAAGGTTGTTTCCTGATAACCGTGAACGGGTTGAGAGTTGGGCGGGGGAGGAGAAGACACCTGTTGCTGATTTTGCTGCTTTCCCTTCCTCCCGGCTGTGACCTCTGGTTCAACTGTGATTTGGAGGGAAAGGATTGTGGAGGTTGCGGCTCCTTTTGTGCCTCCCTCCACCCCCTTCGTAACGAAGTTGTTCATGTCCCTGCGTGTGTGTGTGTGAGAGAGAGAGGATCCCCGGTTATGTTAGTTATAGGCCTTGGAAGAAGCCTTCTCTGTTCTCTTCATCCACCCTGTTTGCAGGTGGAATGAATGACGTATTTTGCGTTTAAAATCAGTTTGGGTTTGCTCTTGCTTCCTCCTGTCATGTGCAGCACCGGAAACCTCTCAATGGCAGTGGTGTTAATTTTTCGTGTTTGTGTGAGCTTTTTCTTCATGAATTCAGGTAGACCTAAGGCCAAATACAGGGATTTGCTTGATGGTGTGGGTTAAACTGACTGCATCCAGTTCATCCATCGTGTGGGCTGGCAGAGCTTGAGAGAGATGTTGTAGGAGATTCATATGTATTCATGCTATAGGTACAGCTGACTTAAAATGATTGCAAGGGAGGACTGCGGCTGTCAAAGGCTCTTGCTGCTGCGTGGCAGGAGCTCCACGCCACATTTTTAACATTGGGATATGGCAGCTGGGTGGACTTTGTTTTGAATGCCTAACTATAATGAGGCCATTGATGCCTTTGGGGGAAGGGGGCCATCATGGAAAATGGATTTTTGTGTTATGGCAAAATTCATGGCACTTGCACACGGTCCAAGTTAGCAAAAAGTCATTTCAGATGTCCAGAAGGGATTCAGAAGGCTGTCCCCCAGAAAGTATCCCATATGCATTCTGATGTTTTACAAGCCTGCGATAGGGTTAGACCATGTCTAAAGGAGTATATTTTAAATGTATTAAGGATTAAACTGACATAAATAAATGTCTTTGTTAGCATGTACTGTAAATTAATAGCATGAAGTTATTGTTCCACCTTTTTTATAAGGAAATTTTGTGGATGGATTTCCTGGTCTTTCTGTTTTTGTTGCAGACTCCAAATTTGATTGAAGTGGTAGTGTGGGAGAGAGAAGGTCAAAATGTTGCTGTTTTTGTTTTGTTTCCTCAGTCCAGATGTTCTGTGTCAAGAACTGGTGTTTGCTACCTCCTTCTCCTCCACCCCAGAAAGCTTTTGGTGGAGGTGGGATTTTGACCAAGGGAAGTAACTCTTAAATGTTGTTTTGCCCATCTCAGTTAAATTCCATATGTTTTTAAGAGCAAAAATGTCAGGTTACTAGTTATAGCTATAATCTAGTCTGCTTCTGTTGCTTGGTTGTTGTTGTTTACACCGTACACATTTTCCCATGTGTATTGAAAGACAGCTGACCATTACAGTACAGTTTACCCCTTCATTGTATCTTAGGTGGTCTTGCTAATTAGGACATTTTGGACCTGAAATTTCAATATAGTGTTGTGAAATTATCACACCAGTTAATATATGTGTGAGCCTCTGCCTAGCACCCTTCTTTTATCTCATGGAATTAAAATCATTGTTGAAACAGGAATATTATTGGTACAGCATCAGTTCTTTAGCAGCATCTCTCAATAATTACATGAATGCCAAATCTGTCACTCGTTTTGCTCTTTGCATTGAGCAAATAGCTATTCATTAAGAATTATTTTAAGTTATCGTTTTACTTTGGCTCCTTTGATTTGAAATGTTTTTGAAAAAACAGGACTTGGCAGAGTTTGTTCTGCCTCCATATAACTTGCATTCCACTCTTAGTCATGAATGTTAAAATCTTCTTAGTTCTTAAAACAGAGTTTGGCTTCAGGATTAAGACCTTTAAGAAACTTACAAATACAATAAAAGTTTTCTTTTGGGAGGTATCATGAGTTGATAATGTGGCTAAGATCCTTTCTAGTGGTTATGACTTATTTGGGTCATAGTGATGCGTTGTAGTGCCAACAAGGGTTTCTGTGTTCCCGCTTTGTCATTAATACATTAGCCAAGAGATGGAAAAATCCACTTCCCAGACAGTTTGCTGTCTTGTGCCAGGCCATTCTAGAGGCACAAGGCCAGCAAAAAATGGTAGAGTGAAGATTTTTGATGAGGAAAGCAAGCAAATGCTGTTCAATTAGTATTATTTTTTTAGGTGAACCATTTTCTGCTTCAGCATTTGAATTTTCTCTTTTCTATATCTGCAATGAGCAAAGGGAGCCCAATCCTGAGCAAGTATTTATTTTTCTTTATATATTCATATTAATGCATTTCATATGTTTATTTATTAGATTTTTACTCCACCTTTATATAAAAAGAGCTGTTATACTGAAAAAGGCATTTTCCAACTTGAAATGCAAAAATCTGGCATTGATTGGTATCCATTTTACTCCTAAAATGGAGCTATATCTTAATCCCCTTTTCAGCCTATTTACCTTTTGCTGGTTATTAAAAGTGGTTGGACACAACTAGATTCTTTCCTTGTCTAAAATAACACAATTTTGCATTGTATGTATGGGAGGCAAAGATACCTCACAAAAGCTTCTTTGTAATAGCAACTGTGTTTTGAATGCAATCCCTTTTTTCTGTTCGTGCATTAATACATTTCTTGGGGAGTTGACTTTGGGTTTGTTTTTAATTATTTCTCTTTCCCAAATTTAGTTGTGTGTTGTTTAGGATACTGCTCTCCTATCATCACTGTATTCAACTTTATGATATACAGGAATAACTGTATGTATATAAAATGACAACTGTATGGGGAACTTTTTAAAAAGTACTTTCTATTTTCATGTTCTTTTATTCTTAGTATTCTGTCTCCACTTCACACATCCCCCTCCCCAGCCACCTCTTCTCACTCTCCTATCTTTGTTCAGAAATAAATGGGGGGGGGGGGGG